ATTATAAAAATTAAGAAAAAGGGAATTTCGCATAATCAAAGAAAGATTATCGAATTAGAGAAATTTATGTTACTACGATAATATTACTACTTAATAATACTGGTATACACAGTATACCGGAGTCACATTATACCAGTCCAAAAGAGCCAGTTCAATGCAGCCGGTATAAAGGGGTTTAACTGTATTACAAATAATAAATTAAAATTTTTTCTTAACAAAAATCTTTTTTCAAATAATATTTATCTTTTCTGCTTTTAATTATACTCATTAATATAAGTAATTTTGAATTATATTGTGCTGAACAAATTATTATTAGCTTTATATTATATTATATTAAACAAATTACTATTATTGAAATTATTAAATTTGAATATTAAATATTTTGATTTTTGTTATTTTGATATTTCTTATTTATAAGAAAAACAAAATAAAAGAGTTTTTATTATTATTATTACTAATTATATTATTTTAGCTCTGAAAAACTTTATGCAAGTACAGAAAATAAGTCTTTTCAAATCTTCTTTATTATTTATTTCTTTATTATTTTATATTTTCATTCTTTTTTTGATTTTTACTCTTTCATAACTCTTTTATATTATTATTATATTATTATTATATCTTTAAAATATTACAATTTTTATAAAAATTAGTATAAAACTTAGATATTTTTCTTTTCTCTTAATATTTTGTTTATTATTTAATACTCTCTTTTAATCTAATTCCAAGTTTGTAGGCTAATTTAATAATTAATAAATATTTTGATGCTCTCTTTATGAAAAATTTCAAAGATTTTCTATAATTAAATTCTTTTGATAAATAATTATTATATTTTTATTGGAGAATTTATTATTAAAAATTTGAAATACTAGCAGAATTACAATAAACTTTGAATCTGGTAATGAAAAATGAAGAAAATAAATTCAGTTTAATAAAATTCAAATATTTTCATATATAGTGAACCAAATTAAATAATTTTGATATAATTAAATATATTTTGACTAGATTTTTTTAATAATATCAAATTTATTTAATTTGGTTTACTACATATAAAGTTATTTATATTTCTTTAAACTGAATTTATTTTTTCATCTTTTATCACCAGGTTCAAAGCTTATTACAATTCTGTTAGTATTTCAAATTTCTAATATAATATCAATTGTAATTGTATTTAATTACTAATTATACCTATTAGTAATTAATTATTAATCATACTAATTGATAATTAATTATTAATATTTCAATTAATTAATATTAATTATGATTACAATTAATTGCAAACTATATCTCTTGGCAATCAATTATTAATATTTTCATTAACTAGTATTGATCATACTTGCAATTGATTGCAAACTAAATTCATTGACAATCAATTACTAATCATTTTTATTGATAATTAATCATCAATACATTATTATTTTCTATTGATAGGGATTACAATTGATTGTTAATAATGATTTTTGATAATATTTGATTGCAAATAATAATTATTAATTATAATTGAGTATAATCACTAATAATTGATTAAAATTCTTATTAATAATAAATAATGTAAATGTTAATAATTAATTGCTAATGGACATAATTATAAATTGATTGCCAACAAATATAGAAATTTTCTAATAATTAGAAAATAAAAAGCATTATATTTGTATTTTAAAACTTGTTTATTTTAACTTATTTATAAATTCTAAAATAATTTCTTTGAATCATATAATCTCTTCAACTTAACAACATTGCATTAATTTAAATTTATTTTTTCATTATTTCACTTATAAAACTGTTTATAAATTTGATTATGGTATTCAAAACATTCATACCAGTAGTCATGTTCCTGACATTTATTACAATCATAATTATTAGATAATAAATATGTTATGTGCAGTATTTTATTTAAAACTTTGAAATGATGAATAAATAAACAATATTAATATTATAATAATGATATGTATGAAAGTTGATTTCTGCATTAACGTTAAGCATTGATTATGTAAAATCGTTATAAAACTTCTATTTGTGTATTTTATTGTTATTATTATGAATTTAAATCGATTTGTATTAAAAAAAGCCTTTACCGTTACCGTTAGGTAGGGCATTTATCAGGTGATTTCTTGTTAGTTATTGATACCGATTCAATGATTCTAATTTTTTTGATGCTAACAAATACAAATTAAAAAGAATTAATGTGATACCATAACGCATATATAAATTAATACCAGTTTCATCTAATAATGAGCATGATATTTGAAATGCATTATGACGTTGTAGTTGTTCTTAAAAGAAACTCGAAATATCTTCATTCTCGTTAATTTCATCTAAATCTGTTTTGCAGCCCAAAAGAAAAAATAGTAAAGTCAATAAAAATATATTAATATATAATTTTCCTTCATTTGGAACAAACAAACCGACACTTGTCAACCCTAAACATTCGATATGAATTTTAGTTAATATGATATGAATCGAGAATGGGGGTACTGGTGATCCTCGATCTACACATAATCACATGATTTTATACATATAAAAAATTTGTTCCAGGTCCCTGTCCCAAAAAGAATTCGTTATGGATAAACGCGAAGAGGATGAACGCAAAAGGAAGACTATGCTCCTACGAGCGCTTAACGATCCCCGGCCAGCAGTCTTTTATGCCGCGTTCAAATATGAGAGTAAAACTGTCGCTCATCAAGATTATTCCTTCCGACTGGAGGACGCGTTGAGAGAAGAGCCTCAGTCTAAGAGGTTATTAAATGCTAAAAGAAGGTGGGATGCTGGCGAATATAAGGATGATTGGAAAAAGAATGCGAATCGCAAAGCTGATGTGAGTTTTCATTTTTTTCTTCTTTATTCTTTCTTCTGAGAGGAAAAAAAGTTGGTATATACATATATATATATTAATAGCGTGAAGAGAAGAAAAGAGGAAAAAGAAGAAAAATTGGTGAGTTTTTATAAGATAAGCGGAAACGATATCAATGATACACAGGGACATGATTCAAATTATTTTTTTATTTTTTATAGAGGGGATTAGTGGAGAAACGGATTCTTTGACGGGTAATAGAGGAGAGTCACAAGTTGATGACGAGGCGTTTGAGATTGATTTTGATAGTATTACCCGAGAACTACAAAAAGAACCATCAAATGAGGTATGATTTAGCAGATGAACCTTTGTTTCTCTTTCTGGCACTAAAGATCTAAGCTATTTTTATATTTCAAGTGGATTGTTGGAACTATAAATATCACGAAAAAATTTCGTCAATACCAAGAAGAGGTTCTCCAAAAAGCAAAAACTGATGGATTGACATGGCACAACACGTATGAAATTCTGTAAGTCTTTATTGTTCGCAGCAGGAGCTCTGTTAGCATACTTTTAATAGTAGAATTGTGATAATTTACCTTTTTTCATGTTACATTTTAGGGCGCTATCTTCAATTATGGTTCTTTGCTGGCCATGCCCTTACCAGAATTTCAGTAACGAAGAATGGCGGGAAATAACTCGGACCAACCCATCTGCAGCCGATTCGGTATTACCATCTTCGGTATCTGAGCCCTTGCAAAAAACTATTAGAAAGCATATGACTGGTCAAGGTAGTTATATGCATCCTGATGATTCAGCTTTAAGTGAAGCAGTGGCTAAATCATTCAATGCATTGTAAGTTTATTTATTTTGCTTTAAAAAGGGAAGGACAAAAGGATTTTTAGTTAATCTTTTCTTTTTATATAACATGTTCTTAGACGAGACACTGTTCCTCCGCTTGCCCCCTCAAAAACATCAGAAGAAGAGCATTGCTATAAATTTTTAATCCATTCACACATTCTTTGTTTCTTGGTCTTTTCAAGAACTATGAAGTTCGTATCAATCGCGCCGTCAGCAATACGACACAAAGACCTGATTTATCATGCGTGGTCGACAGAATACCACTTCTGAATACTGAACATAAACCACGGGGATGTACATTGCTTTTAAGAAAGAAAGATGTAGCAAAGGTTCATTTGAGAGGGAGGAAGTCGATAAATGAACAGTTATCTACAAAGGGTGGTCCTGGAGAAGCATACCTCCTTACAAATTTCGGTATGGATCTTTCATTATGTAATTGACTATAAACAGCTTGAATACTAATTTGTTGCAAAATCTCCAGGTGAGGTTGTAGAATCATTTTACATGGACCTTAAATTCGATGGTCTATACCGCTCATGGCCATTCCTCACCTCAAAACTCGTGATCGATCAGCCCACGATCCCGTTATTTGAATATACATTTGCTCATTTTTGGCAGCTAGAGGTAGGTAACTATTGCACTTCATCCACTATTTTTTTTTAAATAGAGATTAATGCACTTTTTGTTTACAGGACCGTGTTAATAAACTTGCCGGAAATTACAAAAGTCGAAGCAATAAATTTACGCCGCCCACTCAAATGAAGTTTGTACGGGAGCTGCCCAATTCACCACAAATCAAACAGTTACTTAATTGATAATAAAATCAATTAACTTCTATTTTTGCTACATGATAACAGGGCTTATTTTCTTAATAATTGGTATATTTTCTACAATCGTGGGTATTGTGAACTGAGACTCAATACAGTACTGATATTGATATCGAGAGCCTCATTTTCTGCAATCAAGTGTATTCGAAATTTTAGATGCCATCTTAGAGTTTATTCTATTAGTGATTATGCACCAAACCAAAATAAAGCCTCTGAAAACAACCTAGCACTTATCTAACCTTTGCGAAAGAAAAACTGTTAACTAAGAAAACTAAATAATGAACAGCGAAAATCAAATCTCCTACTGAAAATCCCAAAAAATCAATCAATGAAAAACTCTAATCGATGGCAGAGTTTTGCAGTCAAAACTCGTTATAGTGAAAGTGTTCGGGCTGTTAGTGAAAAATTTTCAAGAATTCACTATATCAGTTTTTTTGAGCTCAACTTCACTGTATCGAGAGTTTAATTAGTCAGTCTTCACTATAACGAAAGTGACTTGTATTTAATTCCCCTCCCAGAATTTTCTGTTCGGCTTTGCAGCAATTAACAGATATATTTACAATAAAATGGAAACACAACAGACGAAACAGAAAACAAAACATTTTTGTGGTAGGTTAAATGATTATGATTTTAAATTGATATTTAGAGGGAACTGTCTTGCAGTATTATAAACACATAAAAGCAAGGCCCCTTTGGAAGAGTTACCTTGTTATTTTTTTTTGCTTATTTTACAAGACAGTTAATATTTTTTCCAGAAGAAAGAAGGATCTTTGGAAGTTCGGATTTTAATGTTTTTATATTTTTAAACAATACCCGAAAATGAAAAAGTAACCGGTTATTTTTTATTGTTTTGCAGGAAAATGCAAGACATTTGATTATTTCTGGCAGAATACCTTACAACTTTTTCAGAAAAAACAGTAATAATATTTTTAACTCCGTCACAATATATCCCTTTATTATGGAAATAATGCTATCCTAATTACAATAAACCCATAGTAACTATAAGCATTTTGTTTCGATAGTGATTTTTTTGTGAAATAACGGTCATAAAAAATTTCCAAATTTAAAAAATTGAATATACCAAGTGATCTGTTTGTCTTGTTGAGACAGACTTGATCACAAGATATCGATATTGCGTACTGTAGCGGTATGATGCATAACATCTAAAGTCATCAAACGTTTGTATTTTACAAAATGGATAAACTTCTTAACTAAGTACGTAATAAATTTAAAATTTAATCCGTGAATATGATAGAATAGGCCCATACATATTCACGGATTAAATTTTGTATTTACTTCTTAGTAAAGAAGTTTATCCATTTTATAAAGTGCAAACGTTTGATGACTTTAGATATTATGCACTATACCGTAAAAATTCATATTTCTTTATACTTAATGCAAACTATAACACACATTAATTTATTTTTTTGAATTTACTATCTTAAATTCTTAAATACATTTTCAATAAATATTGCGAAAACCAATAAATATTAAATATTAGAAATCAGGTTATAATAAATAGTATTATTTTTACAATTTAAACAGGTATTTTCTTCAGATAATAATTGTTTTGTCAAATATTCTTTACTGTCACCGAAGTAAAAGCTTTACTTTTTCTATATAGTATCAGACATACAACTAGATATAATAATTAAATTTATTTAAAAATTCTATTTTCTTATGTAGTTTGTTAAATTATTTTTTTGAATTTGTATTTTTAGTCCAATGCAAAAGTTTATTAATAGTTGGTTTTCTATTTACAATTAGCAAAATAAGTATCTCTGAAAATAAGCTACCGCTACCATTTTTTGCAAACCTAAATTAGAGTGATAACGATGATTTGTATCACTTAAATTAACAAAGACGAGAAAAGAAATTATGTATCGGTATCATCTATGTCTTAGCGTTAGAAATAACAATTTCGTCAGATATCCCACAACATTTAAATGAACGTTTAATTAAA